GGCGCCAGAGCCCGCGGCCGGGCTTGTAGCGTCCCAGTCGGCGCTGACGTGCACCTTGGAGCCCTGTCGCGAAAGGCGGCGGATGATGCCACGCAGAGCGACGAGCTTGATCTCGTCGTCGTCCTCCATGCCCAGGCTTCGAAGCCGGTCGCGGAAGCGGTCATCTTCCTCGGTGCGACCCGTCGCAGTGGAAACGACCTCGCGTCCGCTCTTGCCGAGCAGAAGTCCGACGCCCTCAGTGGCGAGCCCATTCTTGAGTCCAGCCTGTTCCTTGCCCTCGGTGGCGCTCTTCCAGAACGCCGACTGGGATGACTGGGATGCCCACGTCAGGGCGGCCGAGAAGACTGGCCGCGACAGGGGAGGCTTGGCCATCTCAAGCAGGTTGGTCTCGCTGAACTCGTGCACGTCTGCGCGTAACAGTGGCCTTAAGGAAGGGTAGAGCACCGCCCAAACATCGACGTCCTCTAGTTTGGTCGCCGCGACTGCAATCAGTCCTGCAACTGCCTGACGCAGCCACAGATTCGGATGGCACAAGAACCCGAGCGTCGTGCTGAGGAGCGTTAGGATGCGCTCTCGATCGAGCAGGTTTTTCTCGGTCATGGTGCGCAGGCCATTAATGACGCGGTACACGACGTTCTCCTCTGCATCCGACAGCGCCTGGGTCATGAGCGGCAGGATGTACTCTTCGAGGCTGCGCGTCCCCGACACCTCGGCTACATCGACGATGATATCGAAGAATGCCTCGCGCAGGAGCCAGTTGCGGTCGTTGAGATAGGTGATCATATGGCTCAGCATGACGTCGTTGGTCTTGGCCATGCCAAAGAACCTGCACAGCGGCGCAATGCCCGCCAGCAGCGCGCGCTTGACTGACGCCGATGGATCGGTAAGCAACGTCACGATGAGCTCCTGCAGCAGCGCCTGAAACGTGCGCAGCTGCTCATCGTAGTTGGCCTCGCTCGGCTGATCGTCGACGAATCCGCCGTTGAGGTCGCTTTCGACCGCGAAGAGGCCTTCAGCCCGCATGGCCTGCGCCATTTGCAGAAAGCGCTCGGCCGTCTCGGCCAAAGGCACGATCGACGCCGCGAATGTACATCGCACGGGGGTGGATGGATCGAATCCGAGCTGTTTGATGTTGGGCATGACGTACTCGGCAAAGATGTTGGCGTTGGACGGCGTCACGATCCTCACGAGCATTAGCGTCTGCACGCATGTGCGGATCGCTGCCATCCTCACCTGTGACGACGTATCGTTGAACAGCGACATGGCGAACGGCAGCACCCGATCGAGCTTGGTCTCGTCGGTGAGCCACCGCGTAGAGAGGTGGACGAGCAGCTCGAGTGCGTGGATCTTGGACGACGGTCGCACACAGTTGCGCAGGTTGGCCAAGATCACGGACAGGATCAGCTGTGCTGTCCCGTCCGTGTCTGCAGATGCGCTGTTGAGCGTCGCTTTTTGCATCGGCACACCGGGAATGCAAAGATGCATCGGGAAGACGTCGTACAATTCGTGTGTGCCAGATCGTTCGTCCTCTGCCGTGTCACCCTCGCTTGTTTGTTGAAAGCTCGACTGGAGACCGAAGCGGCCGAGAACGCCGTTGATGCGCGCCGCCAGCCCGCTCGGGCCGGCGTTCGGATCCGAGGTATCGGTGCGATCCACATCATCGTCAAAGTAGCGCACGACCGTCGCCCACTCCTCGTACAGCTTCTCGATGCGTTCGTCGCTCTCTGCTCGCTGCATTTGGCGCGGGCTCGGCTCCGATCTCAACGAGACGGCGGTGGCGGAGGCGTTCGATCCACTGGCTGCGCTATCGACGGACGAGACTCCACCGCCAGCCTGCTGGAGTGCAGCGGGCGAAGTCCTTTGCAGCTCAACGAGGTACTCGTGCAGGAAGTCTGGCACCGCCGGCGGGAAGACCGAGCCCCGACCTTCAGCCAGGTACTCCTTGAATGCCTTGCGCTCTTTCGGATCGAGGGCGACCATGCTGCGCACGAGCTCGCGCACTGCGTCGTCGGGGATGGTGGCGAGCATGGCGTCCAGATCAAAGATGCCTTCGCGGTACTTGAAGAGCTGGCTCAGCGTGAAAGTCGGAGCGCCCTCGCGCCACAACTCTGCAATGACGCATCCGAGCGAGAAGACGTCCATGGCCTGCGTCACCTTGCCGCTGCGTCTGCCCATGCCGAGCACGTCCGCCTTGAGCTCTCCGAGCCGATCGGACACGTCCTGGTCGTCTGCGTCCATGCGCATCTCGCCTGGGGCGTATTTCGAGTCTGCCGCGTAGAATCGTTCGGGCGCAATGTAGCAAGTCCTCCTGCCGGAAGTATCGAAGAAGAAGGAAAAGTCGGACGGGTCGTCGAGCGGGAGGTAGGTGGGTTTGAACGACGACGCAAAGTCCGTGACGTAAATCATGAGCGAGGTGGTGACGAGGATGTTCTCGCACTTGAGATCGCCATGGGCAATGTTGCGCTCGTGAGCGTCGCTCATGGCGTGCAGAAGCTGGAAGGTGATCCATCGCTTCTCGACCGAGCTGAGGAAGGGTCGGGTGCTGATGCGGTCGTACAAGTTGCTGTGAAGCCATTGACGGATGAGGTAGCCTGCACGTTCGGTCTCGACGACTTTTTGGTAGGTGAGCACGTTGGGGACATCGGCCAGCGACTCGCGCTCGATGCGGATGTGTTTGACGAGGCTCTTGAGGCTCATCGACGGATCAGGCTTGACGAAGGCTTTCACCACGATGGGACCGAGGCGGTGGCGGGCACGAACAGCACGTAGGAACCTTGAGCTGCCGATTCCCTTGTCATATTGGATATCGTTGCCGACTTCTGAGACCAGGTTGCCAATACCCGCCATCCGGGCGGTCGCGCTCGAGTGTGTGTTCCCCATCTTATGGATGGCGGCGATCGGATCGAACGAGCCGGCACTGTAAGGCAGGGGCAGCCGAGGAAGTCGCTGGTGTCATGCACCCTATCAGGTGGCTCAAGACTGCTAGAAGCGTTGCTGAAGAGCGCGTGCCGTGGCCAAGCTAGATGCTGGCGCTGATCATCGCGGGCTACTGTATTCTGCAAGTTCAAGGCGAGCTGACCGCGAGGTAGTAGGGTCGACGTGGCCGCGCGCGACGTCAGTGTTGTCTGATGCCGAGGTGATCTGAGCGCAGCGCGCTACGTAAGGCAGCAAGCGGGCGAAAGTGTGGGATGTTCAAGTCGAGAACGCAGATGGTGGCGGCTGAGCAGACTGTTCAGGGTCCGATCAGAGGGAGTGGGGTCGTGCGCTTCATTTCGCGTCTGCGCGTGCGAGCGTGTGTTGCTCTCCCTCCACCTCTTGCACCGCTCCCTAATACAATTCCGCTTCTTCCCCACCGTCCACCGTTGATGATCCATGCAGCTAACTCTCTCTCACACGAACTTCACATGGTACAAGGTGGCGGCAGAGCGCTTCCATATCGTGTATGTGATTGATATTCCGCAGCAGAAAAACGTGTGCACAGTGACAGGTATGCGGCCCAGCACCATGGCTGCGGCCAAGGACTCAGATCCAGTTGCTGGAGCTCGCCACGGATGGTCGTCCCGACGGGCGGCCGCTCAAGCTGCTACCGTTCGACATGACCGTCCCCGATCGCTGAAACTGCGGGGCATAGCCGCTGGAACCGGCCGGGGGCCCCGTCGGGCTGAGCTCCACGACCTTCTGGAAGTCGAAGGGGATGCGACCGGCGACGCGCTCGCGCTTGGTCAAGATCACCGGGTTCGCGTCGGCATCGAGCGCGGCCAGCTGTGCGGCCTCGGACGAAGACGACGTGACGGTGCTGTTGCCCGAGACAAAGTGCAAGTCGTTGCCGCGCATGATCTGAACCAGGCGGCCCGTCAGAGCGTCCCTGACCTCGACAAAGCGCGAGTCGAAAGCAAGCACGTAGTCTCCCGAGAAGGCCACCTGCTTGGGGAAGCCCTCCCACTCGATGATCTGCTCCAGCCGCGTCGGCTCGCCCAGTCGATCCACGTAGCACGCAAAGGCGTCGTAGCAGAGCAAAAAGTCGCCGTCGCTGGTCTTGTACATGCCCAGCGGCTTGGCGGTCTCCACGCGCTTCTGCAGCTGCTGCACTCGCAAGTCCTCGCGGTTGGCGTGCACAAAGTCCGGGATCGTGCCTGGCAGCAGACTGTCCAGATTCATGATCTCGAAGCCCTTGGCGCAGATGATGCAAAGCTTCGACTTGAGGAACTGGATCGAATACGCCTCGGACGGGATGAAGAACGTCTTGTAGATCCGGAACCAGTCCGAGTTCTTCGAGTCCTTGCCGAACTTGCCAAAGAAGCCGGATCCAGACTTGCCCTCGGGACCGCGCGGCGCATTGAGCACAGGCTCGAGCGCGCGGAAGACGCTCTCGTTGGCCTTCTTCTTCATGTAGATGAGCAGGGTGCGGTCCTTGAGCACGCCGACGTTGAAGAAGAGCACGTCGCGGTTGCCGCTGAGCTTCTGCGGCGGCCGCAGCGACGAGTTGCTGCTCGACGTCGTCGGCACCAGCGCCTCGAGGCTGTACGAGATGAGCACCTTGTCCGCCAGCACCACAAAGATGCCAAACGACTCGAGCACGGCACACTGCGTGACGTACTTGAGGTGCAGCACCTTGCGCAGCGACTTGGGATCGTTGCGCAGCCCGATCCACACACCGTCTGCGCATCCGACCGCCACGAGCCGTCGTCCGTCCGCGGTCACGAAAGGCACCGCACATGTAACACGACCGTGGAAGACGCTCGGATCGACGCCTGGCACTGGCCTGTCCGGCTCCAAGCTGATCGCAGGAGGGATGGCAAAGATTTCGTCGCTCAGCACTTGCTGGTCGAACACCCGGTTGCTGTCTTGCATGGCCATGCGCAGGCCGATGGCTTCGTCCAGCTTGGCCTTCCACTGGTCCCTGGCAGCTTTCGACGGCGCATACAGTGCGATGGGCTCGATCTTGCCACCCAGATGAGAGATCGTGAAGGGCCAAAAGTCGCGGGCTTCGCGCTCTCGGCTGATGTGGAAGTTGCTCAGGCCGATGGAGCGGGAGATGGACGATTCCGTGAGACCGGTGACCTCAAGCATCTCGACCGGGATGGGACGCTTTGCCAGCACGAATCGCGCGCCTGCCGTTGTAGACGACGATGCAACGTTCGAGAGGTCATCATCGGGCCCTTCAGCAATCCGTTTCTGCTTGGTGACGATAAAGTAGTTGTCGAAGAGGATGGCCAGCAGCTCGGTCCAGTCAAAGTCGAATGCGTCCGGTTTGCGCAGCACGCGTCCTTGATGGATAAGCTGGCGTTCCGGGTTGAGCAGATCCATGTCGATGGCATGCTTGTTGCGCTTCGCCGACAGATTGTACGCGTACTCTCGGATCTTGACCTTGAGCTCTGCCGATTCGACGCCCGTCTGGGCAGTCTTGCACTGATCATTGATGATGTCGATGGCGTTCTGCAGGCTGTCGCGGTCGTTGTTGCCGTCCTCTGTTTTCTTGAGGATCGACTCGAGATGCAGGTGGTACCTCTGCAGACGTGCTGGCGGGCGAAACAGGAAGTTTTCAAGCGGGTGCTTGTGCGCTGCAGGATGACGCCTGCAGGCTTCCACGAATGCCTTGAAGCGAGGATTGACCGACATCTCGCGCTTGACACGGCTGATGGCGAGCGGATAGTTGATGAGATAAGTCGTGTAAGCATCGCCCCAGTCGAGGGCTGCGCTGAGGAAAAGGTCACCGATTGTCTGAATGATTGGGTTCTCCTCCCTCTGACGGATGTGGAGTCGCTCTACCAAAGCTCGAATGTGGATCGCCAGCTCGCGGTGGTTGCCAAATACTTCGCGGATGAAGTCGTCGCGCTCCGGCCCGATCGGCAGCGGAGGTGGGTCGCCTGCATCGCTGGGCTTCTGGAGGCCTTGCACGAACAACGACTCCAAGAGCTCGAGATCCGCCAGAAACTCTTCCTCCTTCTGGATCGTCTCGAGGATAGCATTCTGGCGGGCGATTTCAGCCTGTGGGATATTTTTGAGCAACTCCGGTGGAACCAGCTCGGCCCACGCCTTCTTTTGAGCCTGATCCGCGGTGATTCCGCCATCCAAGACGCCGCCGAGCCTCGCCGCCTTACTGTCCGAGTCAGTGACAGTCAAACGAAGGGGGCTTGTGGCTGAGTTTGAGCACGACGGGCTGTAGCAGGCTGACGCGCGACCCGGGCTACAGAGCGGGCTGTAGCAGCGAGTCAGGGGAGTAAAGACACCGTTGGGCAGGTCATCGAGATCGGTGTTGGCCGGCTTTCGAGCTTGGTCGGCGGCGGCGCCACCGACGGAAAAGCTGAGACTCGAGTCGAAGGCGGAGTTGTGGTTCAGACCGGCTGTCCAATCGTCGGGATCGGCTGGTGCCGAGCCCATATCTGCGAGGCTATCCTCGAGGAAGGTGTACACTTCGTCCACATCGTCTGTGAGCTCCTTCTCGCCCCAATCGACCTCGTGGAAGAAGAGCTGGCTCTTGAGCGATTTTGCCAGCGAGAGGGCGACCTGGCGCACACCGGCAGCATCGCCCGACACGACGAGTGCATGTCGAGAGCCGACCGTATCCGATACGAGCAGTTCCTGCAACGTAGAGACGACGTCCTTGCCGGTGAAGCTGTTGGGATAGTCTATGCTACCTTTGATTTGGACGCCGCGAGGCACCTTGGCGCGCAGGAGAAGCGCGACGGTGGAAAGTAGCGACCACTCGGGCGCTTGCACACGGCTGACGCGCGGTGCCTCGCGCGAAAGAGCTTGTTCGACCTTGGGCCGAGGGCTGTAGACCGGCTCCCAAGCGAGCGAATCTACCCTCTCGTGGCTGTACTTGTCCGCCATCTGGCGCTTCTCGTCGCCTGGACTCGCCGTAGTTCTGGGTTGCGAGGGTGTGCGCATAACGCTGGCTGGCAGATGCGAGAAGCTGGACTGGTGCTGGAGAGAATTCTGCGAGGGCATGCGAGCGCGATACGCATCGCCGGCTGCGGATTGATTGCCGTGTACGGTGGCAGGATAGCCATGACCCAGGTACTCACTGCCCTGGGCGTTTGGACTGGCGCCAGGAATGGGCGGCAAAGGCTGGCGGTAGGACCTGCTTGGGCGGACAGATAGGTCGGAGGCCTCGCTGCGAGTTCGCTGGCGCAGACTTTCGCGATCGGAGTTGGTGGCGTTGAGCGAATCCGGATCGTAGGAGGAATCGGCGGTGTGGCCCAGCTTGGCAGACGGTGTACGCGAGACGGCGCCACGGCCTGCGTCGGAGCGCTGGTCGTGCTCGCTTCGAGCTTGGGCGGGCGACCGAGCATTTCGGGCGCTTGCCTGCGTATACGATGGCGAGCGGAAGGATGAGAGGGGCGAAGCGCTTGCACCGTCCCTAGGCGGAGGCGAAAAGGAGCGGTCGAGCGAGGTGGCGGTGGAGGGCAAGGGTCGATGGCCGTAGGAGCTGCTTGGCGTGCCGAATTGGCTGGCCGACGGGCTCCACGAGGGCGCAGCACCGGAGTTGGACGAAGAAGAGGGCGCAGTACTGTGCTGGGTAGCGGAAGGCGTGACGGGCGGCGACCATGCTGTGGAGGAGGCCGGGGGCGGGGAGACGCTGTTGAAGTAGCCCTGCTGAGAGGCGTACGGATCGACACCATCGGCGCGGTGGCGGAAGGTGGGGGAGAGGGGTCCCGTAGGTGTTCGGGACTTTTCCTGAGCGGCACCTGGACTAGGGAGGCTGGTGTGCTCCAGGGGGCGGGGTGCAGGTGCGACGGGTAGCGGACGGCTGGCTCGCTGCGATGGACGATGTGCTGAGCGGTTGTGATCCGATACAGTGCTTTCGTATCGAGGGACTGCTTGATGGAGGGGAGGAACTGGCGCGGACTCGGAAGCAAAGTGGGAAGTTTGATCGATCAGGGGTGTGCCGGTGTCGTCGGTATACAAGCTGATGATACCGCTTGCTGTTGAGACAGGGCGGTCCGAGGGCTCGCTACGACCTGTGAAATACGATTTGGTCGTAGGAGCAGCACTGTAGGTGACTGTATGTGCGTCTTGATGCCTCATAGGCTCTGTTGTGTGGGAGTAGCTGGGTAGAGCAGGATCGCGCTTGCTGGACGCCGAAGGGGCGCGTGATGGATAGTATTGCTGCTGCTGCTGCAGCATCGCGGACTGCGTTGATTGGTCGTAAATGTGCATGCGATCCAGTCGATCTGCAGGATCGTATGAGCTCTGCTGCTGCGGCTGGTCGTATGCTGGCACGGATGCGCCCGCTGCTCGCGACTGTTGGGCGGTCCATGCGTGACCCTGAGAAGGCTCGGGCTGGCCGTAGGGGTAGCGAGGATCATACGGACCGTATGCCGTCCGAGCGTCGGTATGATAAGGGTCAGAGGCCTGGTCGTGCTGCCGGTCGTAGGAAGAGTGCGAGTAGGATCCATGCGATGCCTGCCGATATGGCCGGCCGTAAGCGTCGTGATGCTGCGACGTCGACATGATTGTGCGCTTCGGGGGAACCGACACGTTGACCTCGCCTGACTGAGCCGCGCCTCTGCGGTACCTTTGCTGGCGGAAGTGCCGGTGATTCGATCTCTGTATGAGTTCACAATCGGCGAGACTGAGACACGAATGTCGGCCCAACCGAAGTCATCGACGTTTCAAGTGCGATCGACCATGGGACGGTGGGTCAGGCGACTATTTGATGTTGGATCTTCGGCTCGGAGTGGCGCCGACTGGGACGAGTGTGATGGCGATTAAAAGTAGGCAGATGAAGTAGATGCGGAGGGTAGGGAGGGATAGTGCAAGAAGCTGGCCAAGGCTCGTGCGTAGGCGCAACGCAGTGCACCCAACGCTGCAAAGCCGCATCTTCGGCCACCTCCAGCAGAGAGGGTGACGGTCTCACATTCACACCGCATCCGCACCCGCACCCGCACCCGCGCGACTCTGCATCCCCACCGAGAGATTCCACACTTTGCGCAAGGCCGCTGAATCCGCCGCTCATTCGGCCGGGCTGCGCTGAGCGGCTCGGAAACCCTCCGACGCGTTGCAAGAAGTTCGGCATCGCTTTCGGCTGCACGCGATCATCACCTTTCGAGTACATACCGTAGGGAACGACATCCTTTGCACTGGACTTGCCTCTTCTTCCTCGCAGATCCACCGGAAACGACTTCTCCGGCTCGCAAGGCGCAGCTGCTTCACGAACAATCTTTCAAGCGGCCGTTCAACGCCGTCCCAGTCTCGACTTTTAGCATGACCGCTGCTGCCGCCTCCACCTCGTCCTGGCCGCTTCCTGCGATGAGCTACGACGCTCGGCCTGCTGCGCCCGTGCGCTCGCTCCTTCCCAAGCGCATCGACGTTGCGCAACTGACGCCCAACAACCTCGGCCAACTCCGCAAGCTCAACAGCGTCCTCTTCCCCGTCCAGTACTCGGAGCGCTTCTACAAGGACGTCCTCGATCCCGATGCTGCCGAGATCTGCAAGCTGGGCCTCTTCAACGATGTTGCCGTCGGAACCATCTGTTGCCGTCTCGAGCTGGTCGACAAGGATAGCGTCCGCATCTACATCATGACGCTCGGCGTCCTCGCTCCCTACCGTCGCCTCGGCATCGCTTCGGCCCTCCTCCAGCACGTGCTGGACCACGTCGCGCCAGGCAAGGAGATTCAGATCATCGACAAGGACGCGCCCACGCCCAAGCCCAAGAAGGACAAGAACGGCAAGGAAACCAAGGTCGAACCCACCAAGAAGACCGTCAAGATCAGCCAGATCTACCTGCACGTCCAGACGTCCAACGACGAGGCAAGGACGTTCTACGAAAAATTCGGCTTCAAGGTCGCAGAGACAATAGACAACTACTACCGCCGCATCCAACCCGCCAGTGCATGGGTCCTCCAACTCCAGTAGAGTCACAACTCGCATTCAACACTCTGACTATCCTCTTTGGCAGGATTCCACCCGGGCATGCTCTTGCACCGACTCTCTCTTCCACCTCATCTTCGTTTACACATCCTTCCACGCAAAGGTCAGAATGAAAATGAGATTGTAACACTACCTGCAAAATGATGATGCTGTCCTGATGCTCTTGAAGAATTCAACGATCGATGTGTCTGACAGCCTTCTCAGCGGCCGGATGCGCGCTTGTGCGCCTGCTTGCGGAGCATCTTTTCCCGCTCTCGCTCCTTTTCGCGCTGTTCCTCGCGCAGATCCTCCTCCCTCGCCTGGCGCGCACTCCTCAACTCCTCCTGCAGCACCGAGCCAGCATCCGCCTCCATATCGTCGTCGCTATCCACCATGCGGCTCGCATACTTCTTGCGGTCCTTGCCAAAGATCTTCCAGATCTCGTCTCGGTAGCTCGCCCCGCCCCCACCCGCCTCGTCGTCGCTCATCCCATCGCTCTCGTACTCGTCTTCGTCGTACTCTTCCTCGCTCTCGTACTCGTCGGGCGAGCCTGATCGGCGAAGCTCGTCTCGGCGATCGCTGCCGCCTGCAGCGAGCTTCTTCTTCTTCTCCTCCTGCTCGCGGATGAAGCGGTCGCGCGCCGTCTCTCTGCGCGGCGGAGCAGACGCAGGTGGAGACGGCGCTGCAGGACTCGTCTTTGCTTCGGCTGCGACGCGCTTGGCCTGGGGCGCAGCATCTCTTTCGGGCGATCGAGCGGCGTGCCCCCGGCCGGACGCGCTCTTCGCCTTTTCCGTGAGTCTCGCCATGACCTCAGGACGTAACGGTGCACCCGGCAGGAAGTCGGCTGGGTCTATACCGCCAGCCGCTCGACCGCCCAAAGGCTTCGGCTCTTTCGGCTGCGCTGGCGTGGGAGGAGCGCCGACGTTGGTCGGCCGCTTTGGAATTGACGGAAGGCCATTTGTCTTTGCTGCCTTCTGCTGTGAAGCACGCGATCCGGATGGCCGATCGTCTTCCGAGCCATAGAGGTCTTCTTTGGAGTCGCTGCCGTCGCCGTTCTCTGCTTCATTCTTGGCCGCCTGTCGTTCTCGATCTTGTTGATCCGACTTGCGCTTCCCTTCCATGGCTCTCTGCCTTCGAAGCAGCGCCGCCTGCCGCTCGCGCTCAGCCTCCGACATGCCCTCCTTCTTGCTCTGCTCCTTCTCCTCTCTCTGCCTGCGAAGGTCGCGCTCGATCTCGTCGATGGAACGGTGATCGCGCTTCTTGGTGCCGAGTGCGACCAGGCCATTCTCCTTGGCAAGATGGGCACGCGCGGATGTGCGGTTTGCGTTTGCCGATGCATCGCTCGTGTTGATACTCGAATTCGATCTGGATGTGGACGGTGTTGCCCCGACGCGGCTGATGGGCGGCAGCCTGGGAAGCGAGCCAAACTCCCTTGCCCGGCGCATGGCCTGCTTCTCCTCGCGCGTCAACGGCACCGGCTTCCTCTTACTAGCGCTGGACGAAGCAGAAGCCGAAGAGGAAGACTTCCGACTCGGCTTGTCGAAGCGATTTCCGACAAAGTCGTCCTCATCCACCTTGCGCTTCCTGCGCGCGACGGGGTTACTGTTCGAGTTGGCTTTCAGCTGACCCGAAAGGTTCTCCCTCCAAGTGGAGCCGGGCTTTTTCAGCTTGTCGGCGTCCGGACGTGACAGTGTCGCGCCTGCACCTCCAGCGAGCTTAGACTTGGCTATGGGATCATCTGTCGCTATGGTCTCGTTTCGAAGCTTCGAAGCTTGCTCCTTGCGCAATCGTTCGCGAGTCTCTTCTTCCTTCTGGCGAGCCATGCGCTGGACTAGGATCTTGCGCTCGCGCTCCTTCTGTTCGCGCTCTTGCGCTTCCCGTGCGGCGCGTTTGGCGGCGGCCTCGCGCTCCTTGTGCTCGCGCTCGCGGTTGAGAGAGGCCTGCTCCTCCTCGGCCTTCTTGAGCGCCATCTCCTTTAATTGTGCGTAGCTCGACATCCTGGCGAAGCTTACGGGCGCGAGAGACCGTTCCTAGAGACCGTTCTTACTTCACTAGTGATGGCGATGCGATGCAAGCTGGGACATGCAAGTCGCAAGCAGAACGAAAGCTTCGTAGACGGAGCAAACGCGCTGCCAGGCACCGGAGGTCCGTGCCGAGGATGTGCAGACGAGACGTGCCAGCGTTCGCGTGCTAGGCCATGGAGAGTACGAGCCCCTTCCTCTCAATTTGATCTGGCCTGGACGAGCCGTTGGAAAGAATAGCGAATCGAATCGTGACGATGAAAGGGAACATGACCAAGAAGGCTGGAGAGCGCAGAGCGTGCTTCTCGCACTCGAGTGTTGGAGTGGAGCTGTGGAGCTGTCGGCGATGGAACCAAATCGGGGCCAACTGCATTCCGATCCCCCAGATCATGCAGCTGCGACGCGCCGTCCCTTCATAACGCGGCACGGGAAGCAAGCAGAAACAAACACCTCTCTAATTCGGCTCGTAAGCGTGTCATGTGGTCCTGGCTCGTCCGGCGGTGTTGGTCTCTGTGTGGACCGCAGCGGACCGCAGCAGCAGAACGGCTTCGGCTTCAATTTCCCTGACTTTTTTTGCGAGCCAGCTAGCCGGGCATTCTTGAAATTGGGCGCGGATGCTGAACAGTGTTTTCCTCACCGCCAGCAAGTATGAAGAGCTGCATCCTTCCCTCATCACACACACGATCCTGGTCCTGATCCGCGAGCGCAAGCATCGCAGCGGCGCGTCTTGACGAAATCATACAAGCTGACGGATCGGCTAGCAAGCCAATCGCGCCGTCACAGCACAGTCACTCTTTCGGCGGTCCCGCAAAGACGCTACCGTCCTTGATCAGCGTAGCAAGCCAAGATGCCCTCTTCCAGCATGGCCGCCGTCGAGGCCACGCTGCAGTCCAATGGCCATGCGGACGGCGCGCGACCTCCGCTCTCGGTCGCTCTGCACGTTCCCACCTCGGCAGTCGACCAGGTCAACTCGGTCCAGGGCGGCTCGGCGCCTCTGTCGGGCAATCCGAACCGACGCTCCCACATTCAGCAGAACGTCCAGGCACTTCCCACGCTGCCAGAAGCATCGCATGCGAATGCGCTCAACACCGCCACAGGTCCGGCGCCAGCCGCGCTTGGTCTCACCGTCGACCTTGATCCCACCACCTCGGCTGCCCTCAATGGCCTCAGCCCGGCACAGAAGACGCTGACGCTCTCGCGCTCCCAGGGCTACGACGCCATTATCTTGGAACTCGCCAACGAGCGTTGGAAGGATCGCTGGGAGCGACTCTGCCTAGCCAATCCAGCAGACCTTCCATCCGCATCCGGCTCCTCCGCTACACCCTCGCCTCTGACTGCAGTGCAGATGTCCTCCGGCGGCGCCATGCTCGCCCGCAGCAGCAGCCGTCAGGGACTCAACAGCTTCACGCCCGGCGGTGTCCGGCAGTCCCCCTCTCCCGCTGTCAGCAGCGCCGGTCAATCGCCGTTTGGCAGCATCGCGCGCGAGGCAGAGGAATGGCGCAAGGCACCCGCCTTCAAGCGGTCCGAAGTGAACCTCACCAAGCTCGAAGAGACCGAGGGCGTCATCGCGCTCGCTAGCCAATGGATCGAGCTCGACTCGCCCGACGAAGGCGTGCGTCTCGATTGCGAGCTGGCGCTGCGACAGGAGCTCGCCTACGCCTCCTACCTCGGCATCTCGAACGTCGTCATCCCACCGCCCTCATCCGACCCGGCCCGCAAACCTTTCCTCGCGGACTATGCGCGCGCAATCAACTCATGCCTAGCCAGCGGTAGCGCCGAGACCGCACCGGCTGGATCGTGGATGACGCTCACCATCCAGTTGCCCGTATCGTCGCCCTACCAGCTCAACAAGATCCTCCAGCGTCAGAACGGCAAGAACGGCTTCGGCCTCACCGCATCCACCACGGCGGGCAGCAACGCCTCGGCGAGCTCGCAGGCGTCGCACGCCAGCGCCACCTCGTCCGCCGCACTCCTCCGAGCCGAGGACGACTGGGCCTGGGAAACCTGGGAGCAGATCCGCCAGCTGTGCGCGTACACCACGCGCCTCCAGATCGCGCTCGATCTCGGCAGCCCGCTGCCGGGTCCGAGCATTCTGGCTCGCTGGATGGCCGAGCCAGTCAGCATGCTGTGGGTGCCAAGCGTCTCGTACCTGGCCAATGCGAAGGGCTTCCCAGTGCTGTCCAAGGCGTCGCAGTCGTTCTTCCGAACCATGTTCAAGAAGAATCCCACCGTCGTGCTGAGTGGCGTGCAGAGTCCGCCGCCGACGCACTCGCGCGGCGGACCGCTGGCGTACCTTCAGTATCTGCGACATCTCGAGAAGGCGGCACCACCGGATGGAGCCGTCGACTCGTTTGCGCGTGGCTACACCGACTGGCTTCAGGCACCGCTCCAGCCGCTGATGGACAATCTCGAGGGGACAACGTACGAGGTGTTTGAACGCGATCCGGTCAAGTACGCGCTGTACGAAGAGGCCGTGTACAAGGCGCTGCTCGACCGACCTGCCTCGGCGAGCACGCTGATCTGGGTATGCGGCGCGGGCAGAGGCCCGCTGGTGGATCGGTGCTTGAATGCAGCGGACCGAGCGGGAAGATCGGTCAAGCTCGTGGCGCTCGAGAAGAATCCGAACGCGCTCGTCACGTTGCAGGAGCGTCAGGCGCTCGAGTGGGGCGATCAGGTCCGTGTCCAGTATGGCGACATGCGCCGACACGCTGTGCCGCCCAGCATGGCAGACCGGCCCGATATCGTGGTCAGCGAGTTGCTCGGCAGCTTTGGCGACAACGAGCTTTCGCCAGAGTGTCTCGATGGTGCGATGCGCTTCCTCAAGCCCAATGGCATTTCCATTCCTTCGTCGTACACGGCGTTCTTGTCGCCGCTCTCGTCGGCCAAGCTGCACACCGAGGTGCTGAACGGATCCAACGCGGCGCTGGCGTCGGCAGTACAGAAGGCGGCGGAGACGCCGTACGTGGTGCTGTTCCAGAACGTGGCCTTGTTGGCAGCCCGCGGCGGCCGATTGAACTCGGAGCAGGTCCAGGAGTCGTGGACCTTCGAACACCGACCCTCTGCGGTCACTCCGCTGGTTTACGACGAGCAAGGGCTGCCCGCATCGAACGGACACAACATCCGCTCGGCCAAGCACACATTCCACATCCCGCAGGCAGGCACGTGCCACGGTTTGGCGGGCTACTTTGAAGCGCATCTCTACGACAATGTGGTGCTCAGCATCCACCCGGACCCGGTCAGGGGGTCGAAAGACATGCTGAGTTGGTTCCCGATCTTCTTCCCCTTTAGAGAGCCGCTCTACCTGCCCGCCAATGCCGAACTGGACGTGCACATGTGGCGCATGACGGCCAGCGACCGCGTTTGGTACGAGTGGAGCGCCGAGGTGTTTTTGCCCATCCCGACTGCCGTGGATGCGGCAAAACAGAGGCCCGTATCGCTGGATGCAAGCTCCTCGATCGGCAGCACGAGCACCGCAGCAGACCAGCACTTTGCCAACGCGCCCAACACGCCCAGGATACCAAGCCTGAGCCTGCCCAACGGGCCGGACGCCTTACAGCCCAGCCCGATGCAGACCTCGACCAGAGCCAAAATCAACATGACCCGACTGCACAATCCCGGCGGCCGCAGTTCATGGATCGGTCTCTAGAACATTTGGCCGCGACACTATCTTTATGGACTATATCGGTAGGCAGTGATATCGCAAGCAAAAGGAGAAGCTGTGATGTGAGCGAAGCTGCAATAAAGGTACCGTTTTCTGAAAAAAGCCGTCTCAGTCTGTGAGAGAGGATGACGTCACGGCACGCGTCAGATCTGCGAGTTGAGCTGAAAATAAGGTGGACCATGCGCCATCAGCGGTGGAAGGATTCGAGAGCTCATCTTTGCTTGCAACCTCCATGTCTACGCCATCGACGGATACGTTGTACTCGCAGTCGCCTCACTCCCCGATCGACAAACGCGAAGCACGCCGCAAGCTCAAAGCACAGCATCGCGCCGGACAGTACCTCGATCCGACGTACGTGACCTGCCTCGTACTACTGCTTGCGCTTCTGTACTGGGTCCTGCCAATTCCCGGAATCTTCGAGCTTCTCTACCGACGACGACACTCGGCTTGCAGCTGCGATCACACCGCTGCCGTGACTCAGAAACCGACCATGCCTTGGCAAAAGCAGTTTACGCTCAGCTCGCGGAGCAAGGGCTGCCATCTGGTGACCAACGAGATCATGCCCCACATCGAGGAAGGACTCAAAGGGGTCAAGGTTGGCATGCTCACGCTCTTCATTCAGCACACCTCTGCTGCACTCAGCCTCAACGAGAACTTTGACAGAGATGTCAGGACCGACATGGACATGGTGCGTTCCACTATCCCCGTCCCCCACCCCCTCCCCCTTTGCATTTGCGTGAACCCTTTCTTGGATGATAGGATGGTCAGCAAGTACTAACTCCTCTGATCTTTGTGTCAACTACAGGCATTGGACCACATTGTCCCAGAGTCACTTCCCTGGAAGCACACCGACGAGGGTCCTGATGACTCGGCCTCTCACACCAAGGCCAGCCTGATCGGACCAAGTATCACATTGCCGATTACAGACGGACGTCTCAATTTGGGGACCTGGCAAGGCCTGTATCTGTGTGAGATGCGCCGTATCGCTCATCGACGCAAGATTGTCGCCACCATTCTTCCCTAGAAGACTTGGAGGACCTGTCCGAGAAGAACGGCCGGCCGAAGTCCGCCAATACTAGGTCGAATCGCTGCTGTGGGTATTGCAATCCATCTTGTCAATCGATCCCTTCTGTTGCGCCTCAGAAGGCGTGCGGCGTCCCGTCTTGCCTGGTTTGTGATGCGGATCTGCAAAAGACGAGATGCAGACCCACACTCTTTGCCGTCACAAGGAGTCGTAAGCTTCGTGGACTTGTGCGAACTTTCAGGCCCGCTCACGCGCCGATCCTGCCGACTGTGAGACTTGCAGGCTTGCCGACTTGCCGACTCACAGACTCGCAGACTCACAGAACTTCAGACTCGCATGATTCGTCGCAGGGTTGCGGACTCGCAGACCTGCCGACCACGTTGAGAAGCGTCATCCGCAAGCTTGCGGACTCACTGATTCAACGACATGATCCGGCGACGCAAGGAGGAGTGACGTCCGCGGCCTCGAAAGTTCGCACTCGCAGATCCGCAGGTTCGCAAAAATGCCGATTCGCCGACACATCGAGAAGCGAACTTGTAGACCCGCAGCCTCGTGATTGCGTCGACACCGTCAAGACGCGGAGCCGGGCAGCCGTACACGCGCCGAGAAGCAGCGACTTGAACCGGACCTTTCAACGGGCATAATCACATTGACTTGGAGCTGAACGTCAAGTCAAGCTTGAGCAAGAGATTCGTTGAGAAAGGGTAAAGCCTGGTATCATTGCAAAACAGACACGAATGTGGATGAAGAAAGAAAGTTGGGAGCAAGCATCTGCCAGCGATGCGAGCTTAGCTCATGATGGCCGACGGAGCGTTGTGCTGGCCATGCATCTCGCCGCCGTGGTGGTGGCCGTAGGTCTGCGGCGCCTGTTCGTACTGCATCTGTCCGTTCTCCGCAGGCTCCGATGCACGGCGCTGCTCCGCCCACGCTTCCTCGCCGATTCCCTCCATGTCCTCGTCTACAGCCTGGTGGCTGAGGCTCCTCCCCTCCAAGCCGAGCAGCTTGTCCGCCTGGCTCTCGCGGTACTGAACGCTGTTCCTCTTGCTCCTCGCGCTCGTCTCGTCGTGCACCTGTCCTGTCTGATGCTCCACCTCCTGCTGCTGCTGCCCCTCCACCTGCTCCTCGCCGATCCTCCTCGGAGCCGGCTCGCCGTTGGCATCCGTCTCAAAGACGCTGTCGAACTCGGTCAAGAAGAGCGCAAAGATGCCCGCTCCGATCGCCAGCGTCGGGCTGAACACGATGCCGACGTTGCGCATCGTCATCTTGTTGACGTCCGAGTGCTCGATGATCTTGATCAGGTGGCTGCAGAGCGTCCGCAGCAGCGAGTAGTTGGCCAACGGCAGCTGCGACACCAGCCTGCCGAGCTCGTTCACCCGCTCGACGCGGTCCTGCAGCTCGTTGATGCGCATAAAGTCCATGTGCAGCTCGCGCGTCAGCACGCTCGTCGGCAGCTCGCGCAGGAAGGTCTTGAGCAAGCCGGCGATGGCATGCGGGTCGTAGTACTGGTTCTCGGTCAGCAGGTCCACGTCGCCCTCCATGTTGAAGCGGTCTTTGAGGTTCTTGATCACCGCCGACGAGCCCGAGAGCCGATAGATGCCCTCCTCCATAAAGGCGTTGCGCTTCTCGAGGTACTCGATGCAGCGGTATACCACCGACGGCAGCGCCAGGCCCTCGTGGATGCTCGAGATCGCAATCGACTCGGCGAGCGGCACGCCAAACACGGGTCGGGGCTCGCGGTTGTGCTTGTCGCTGCCGCCAAAGGCGCGGAAGCCCTGCCAGAAGCGCTTCTTGTCGTCCTTCTTACTGTCCGGTCCCATGTCGTCTTTGGCGCCAAACTTGTAGCCGGCTGGGATGGGCGCGCCGTTGAGGGGCCCGCTGATCGACGTCTTGCCGCGGTTGAGCGGCTCGTTGCGCGGACCGGGCGAGCCAGGGGCATCGTACAGGTCAGCGCCTCTCGAGCTCACGGGCGAGCGCGGCTCGTGGAAGCTGCGGTACGATGCCGACTGGGGCAGCGACGAGCCAGGCGTCGAGCCGACCGGCTTGCCCGTAGCGGACGAGTCGACGCTGTTCATGCGCGCCGCTACACTGCGGCTGCCGTCCTGGCCTGCGTCGCCTCCAAACTGCCTGCCAGCCTTGTCAGCCGATGGGCTAAAGGCCGAGTCCGGGAACCTCGCGTTGGACCCCAAAGCCTCGCGCCCTGGCGTCGTGGCCTGCTGCGACAGGGACATCTGGCTCATCGCTTGCGTGGGCGATGCGGGCATGTCGTCCATCGACACGCCGTCGAGCTCGGCGATGGCACGCACAAGCACGTCGACCCAGTCGTCGCGCTCCTCGTCGCTTTCGGCACAGAGGACGTGGCGGGCAATGTGCGCTGGCTCGTCGGGCATGCCCTCGCGCTTCTCGAGGATCAAAAAGGCGTGTCGATAGGCGTTCTCGTCCTGCTCGCTGCTCGCCGTGCTCTTCTGTTGGCGACCGATCTGAGCATCTCGGATGTTGATGCTGCCGATCTGCGCACCGCCTCGCGTCTCGTAGTAGCTGAGGAACGAGTTGCGGAGCACGTAGAAGCGCGTGACCCACCTGCCGAGGTTCTGGCCCTTCTTCGTGAGGAAGCCCTCCTTGCTGGTCGAGAGCGGATCGCGCAGACGATTCGGCACGACGTCCGTGCAGAGGAACGTGCACACCTCGTCCTTATCGGGGAGCTCCAGCACCATGAGGCTCTGCAGGTAGATCTCGAGCAGGGCCTTGCGCTGATCGACCTTGGCGGGCGCGTGATCCTTGAAGAGGGCCTTGTCGGGTAACGGAGCGAGACGCTGCGAGGCCTTCTTTCCGACCTTGCTGCGAAGCTTGGCGTCGAGGCCGATGATGTCGCTGTAGCTCTTTTCGATGGTCCACGAGGTAGGCGGACTGGGCTCGCCCGAGGCCATGCTGTTGAGGCCCCAGGAGGCCGGAGGATGCAGAATGTCGACGGTGATGAGGAAGGAGATGGCTTCCTTGCCTCGATCTGGGGAGCGATAGTTGGTGCCCTGGATCTTGACGCTGGCGACGCGCAACAGCGACGAGTCCAGGCGGGGAGCAAGCACACGGTGCTTCTTGACGTCGTCCTTGGACCTGCGAGAGCCTGTGCCGCGTGAGAGGCGGTCCTCGGATACCACCTTGGAGACGAGCGAACGCGAGCTGGCCGAGGAGGGGATCATGGTCGGAGTGATCTCGGCTCGGTTGCGATTGGGACCCGAGGCGAGCAGCGAACGCTCCTGCTCGACGGCTCTGTCTACCGAAGGATGATACGGCGATGCGGGAATGCCCGAGGGTGCGGCATAAGGCTGCTGAACCGGCGTTCGATGACGATCGTGGGCGGATGATGGAGGATGCGTGGCCGACTGGTGCAAGTGAGGATTTTCATCGGTGCCGGATGCAGAGCTGCGATCGACGGCTTCAAAGTCGGCGCTCTCGTGGCTGGCGAGCGAGTCGGCGAGCGTGTCTGGACCTTGAGCCCATTGATTGAGCGACATGGACTGCGCCTGGGCCTGTGCAGCGGCGCGCTGCTGCATGATGGAGGCCTGATGGTCCGCGTTGGCATGGATGCTGCGATCAAGGCCCGTGTCGACGGGCTGGGTGCTACGCGATGGGCCTTGGTCTACGCTGGTGACAGGGCTGTCGTAGGCGTGGGTGGAGCCAATGGTGTCGGACAGCACGCTGGCCGATTCGGGCGCAGGGGCGGAAGGTGCGCTGGAGACGCCGTTGCCGTTGTCATTAGGAGCTCGGTAGGTGGCCGAGTTGGTGGTTTGGCCAGCCAATGCGAGACGCTGGTCGAGCTCGGATCGAGAGTTTTGTCGCATGTGACGTGGAGAGCTGAGCGGACTGCTGGACCTTTCGATTTCTTGGCCGTAGGGCATCCTTCTGCGACCGCCAGCTGGGGATCCAGGCGTGGCGCTGTTGGTGGAGCCCAGCGGCGAGCCCCTAGCAGCAGGTGCGGCGGCAGAAGCGCGTTCGAGCTCGACACACCTTGCCTTGAGGCTTTCGTTCTCCTTGCGGATGCGGCCCATGAGATTCCAGATGCGCACGTTCTCGGACGAGAGTTTGGCATTGTCGAGGCAGAACTGGTTACGCTCGGCCAAGACTTGGTCGAGAGCCGCGACGTGGTCTCCGTCGGCTCGGGCTAGCACGTCGGCCAAGGCGGTAGGCGTGGGCGCGGGAGTCGAGCGCGTGCCCGCGGCGGGAGCGAAGCGGCTGGAAGAGCCGTGGGAAGCGGTAGAGTTGGCGTCATTGGCGTACATGCCTGTGGAATCCATGGCGTTGTCGATACCGAAGCGAGGTGGTCTCGCAGGAGCGCTGGCCATGCTCAGAGAGAGTAAGCAGCTGGATCCGCGATTCGCCGCGACGACCGGATGGAGGTGAACTCGAGAGCTCGTTCAACGTGGTGATTCCAGACGGAGTCGCTGCAGCTTTGCAAAGGTGCAGTGAAAGTTGAGGAAAGCGGATTGCTGCCTTTGGCCCAAGAGCAAGTCAAAGCTTAATCGCGACAGTGGTGATGGATGTAGAGGGAGTTCGGGGAGAGTGGACTGGCGTGGCCCAGAGCGGCTGGGTCGGCGGCAGCAGCGGCTCTCAAGTGGCGACAGAGCAAAGAAACTCCGGGAGACGATGGAGGAGGAAAGGGTATCTGGTGGGGTGGGGGTCAGAAGGATGAGGCCGAAGGTGGACGGATGGTCAAACACGAGTGGGGCTAGGGTCGCGACATCAGAAGCAGCAGTCGCAGCAGCAGTACGGTAGCAGCAGCAGCAGCA